TCAGATAAGCCTCCCCCCCCCCCCCCCCCCCCCCCGGTGCTTGTGGCTGGGTTTAGGCAACCCCCCAAATGCCCATTTTGAACCATTTCCCCCCAGCACTTTCAGTCCATAGCGATGGTTGCGGGAGGTCAGCGCAGCCCGGCACTGCCTGCACATGAAATCAATGTGGTGACTCACCAGGGAGAAGGAAACCAGCCTGAAACATGCCCATGAGGCAGGTCGGGCGGCCCACCCAGCAGCCTGTTTTTAACCATCCAAGAGGGTGGGCAATGGGCATGGGATGGGACGGGATGGGACAGGGGTGTCACTCACTGACCCTACCTGACACCAAATGGGATTTTTATCCACTCCAAGTAGCTTTCAAACCCAGTCCTTGCCTGAAAAAGCAGATGAAGGTAATTCTTGCAGGGATCTCCACCAGGTACCGTGTCACCCTGAAGGATGAGTGGCCTTAGATCCCCTCCAGCTGACTCTGCTCTCGGAGGGGGGGCATTTTAAAAGAGAAAGCTTCCATGTGCAAACAACATCCTCCTGATTGAACTCACTGAGTAACCTAATGGTACCCACGCCTTGGAAAGCCTGGCTCTACAGCATCCACAGATCCCACCATCATGGCTTCTAGCTCCCCCCATTTCCCACCCACCAACTGGTACTGGAATGAAACACATCTCCCAAGGAATGAACAAATGCCCCTGGGACAGGAGGAGCTGTGGACACACAGAGCCCAGCACATGCCTTTGACCCTTACGTGGTTTCACAGGGGTTTGTTGGCAAGGGTTAGGCCACGACTAGGTAGGCTCTGCTGTGGAAAGCCATGTCCATGCAGGATAAGGCTGTGAAATGGGACCAGTTCAGGTTCAGACCTTGCTGCCAGGGGTGGCCCTGGGTGCCTGGGGATGCAGCACAGAGCCCATGCATCCCAAGGAGCAGGTACAGACAGGACCCTGCTCTATGACCCTCAGATGAGCTCCCCAAATGGGCACCCATCACCCCAGGGAGCCGAGCACCCAAAGCACTCCATGGCCAGAGCAGCCAAAGCCCAGCCACATGCCTGGATGGAGCTCAGCACCCTCTGACTCCAGTGTGGCCAACAGCACCTAGCACTGCTGCACCCAGCACAGACAGCACCCAGCACTGCTGCACCCAGCACAGACAGCACCCAGGGCTGCTGCAGGAGCTCTGCAAGTGGTTTCTGACACTTCTACATTTGACAAGAGGTTTGGAGAGTTGCGAGTTCCGTCCCTGGGAGCCTGGACCCAACGTGGAGCTGCCCCGAGCTTTGGAGCTGCCCTGAGCTGGCCCCATCCCCTCCAGCCTCATCTCTCCATCAACACCTTCCAGATCGTTTCGTTCAAGTGTGTAAGTTCCCAATCAAGGCACTTGTTTAATTGCAATGGGGTTGGCAGCCTGGGGAGCTCCATCAGCTCTGCTGCGGGCGAGAAACCTCTTCCCTGGAGCAGCAGCTTTGTTTGCAGCTCCGGTGGGATTCACCAGGATGGAGCCCCCCACCCTGGGCAGTGCATTTGACCTGAAGCCTTATCCTGAAGGGGCTGAATCCTGCCCTGAAACCCCAACTCTGGGGGCTCAGTTGTCACCCCCCTCACCCCAGTCATCCCCACTGCTGCTTTCCCCTCACCAGCACAGCCTGGGGAGGGGATCCAGCCCTGTGCCCCCACCGCTGGCACATCTGGCTGGGGTTGGAGAAGCTGAACGCACCTGGCAGAGCACAGTGTGAATGACTGATTTTTTTCCACTGTACTCACAAAGCAGAGATCAAAGACGTGTGAATCTACCCAAAATGAGTAGGTTTTCATCTAGGCGAGGCAAAACCTGGCAATAAGACCAAAGAGAAGTGAAAATAACACAAGAGAGAAGTGAAAATAGCACCAAAGAGAAGTAAAAAGGACTTTTCAAGGAAAAGACATTCTTCTTTTAATGCTGTAGTTAAAATAAAATCAAGTTCAACTCTAATATCTCCACCCTTGGGCAAGGGGCTACCATTTGCAGCCAAGGAGAAGGCAACTGGGGGCTGCTCTTCCAGTGAGGAGCAGGTTTTGCAGCCTCCATGTCCTGGTTCTACCACGAGTGTAACCCAGAGAGTCTCTGTCCCCACTGACACTCTCCTGACCCTGCTGAGATGGAGGAAAGGCTAAAATGAAAGGGGTTGGGTGGTACCATCAAGCCTAGGAACATCTTTCCTGCACCAACCTGCTTTCCTGGTCTCCAGGCAGGGCAGCAGAGCAACAACCATCCCCCCAGTTTACTCCATGCGCCCCATCACACGATAGGGTTCTTCCATAAGCTGTGACAATTTTCCTCTCATCCAGCAACCAAGGGGTTGTCTCCTCTCTGTCTAGGATCTGGGGATGCTCCAGGCAGGTTTATCCGTGCGTGGAGATGCTTGTGTTGAAACTGACACTTCTGTTACTTAATTAGGGTGCATCTAACTGAGCGTGGGGCTGCGGAGGCTGCTCTGAACAAGAACTTGCTGGAAGGGAGCACACAGGAAGGGTTTGAGCTCTTGAGCTCAGCCTCCAAACAAGCCGGGCTGCCACTGAGCTGCCCCAACCCCAACACGCTGCCCTTTGGAGACCCCCAAAACCCCCCTCAGCAGCAGGGATGTGCACCCACTTCCGACCAGCCACGACATTCAAAGCATCACCTTAAGCAGGGCTGGATGCTCCGAGGGCACAGACCCATCCTCTCCAAAACTGCCTCATCCCTTCAGGAAGGGTTTTGGTGCTCAGGACTGGGTGTTCCTCTTCCCAAGATGTGACAAGGAGCAGAACCAGCGTGCTCCGTGCCATGGCCAAGGAGCAATAGCCTGGCTAATTGGGCTGCTTCCAGATGGCTTCTTTCCGGGTGTAATCCATCCAATTTCTGAAAGTCAATTTGAGAGGGGAGCAAGGGAGAGAATCAGGATTTACCGGCTGGAAAATCAGATAAAGGATGTTTTGGGAGGTAAAGGACATTGTGCGACTCCTGCACGGGAATGGGGGGAACTGATTTCACTGCAGAAGTGACTTCTCCCTAGTGAATTCAGATTGCCTTTGGATAAAGGCAGCCATGGGAACGTGTGTTGGACACAGGGGCTTGGACCAACCTGCTCTAGTGGGAGGTGTCCCTGCCCGGGGCAGGGGTTGGAGCTGGGAGAGCTTTAAGGTCCCTTCAACCCAAACCATTCCATGAGCACACTGGTGCTGCAGAGGGCACATCACCAGCCCACCAAGGGCGATGGCACCTTGAAAGCAGCCAGCGAAAGCCAGGCTGTGCCCCCTCCTTGTCACACCGGGTGTCCACACGTACCCTCGGGCACGGTGATGCAGCCCTGACCACGTGCAATAGCTCCCTTCCCTGCCACCCCCAGGTACACCAAGATGAAGACAGCCACCAATATCTACATCTTCAACCTGGCCCTGGCAGACGCTCTGGCCACCAGCACGCTGCCCTTCCAGAGCGCCAAGTACCTGATGGACACCTGGCCCTTTGGAGAGCTGCTCTGCAAAGTCGTGCTCTCCATTGACTACTACAACATGTTCACGAGCATCTTCACCCTCACCATGATGAGCGTGGACCGTTACGTCGCCGTGTGCCACCCAGTCAAGGCCTTGGACTTCCGCACACCAGCCAAGGCCAAGATCATCAATGTCTGCATCTGGGTGCTCTCCTCCCTCATCGGGGTGCCCATCATGGCCATGGCAGTCACCAAGTCAAAAGGTAAGTGGCTTCTGGGAAGAGGTCCTCTCCTGTGCCATCTGTCTGCCCCAGGCGTCACCTATCAAACCCGAGCAACCTGGTCTTGCAGCAGGTTTGAGGTTAGTGACGGACAACCCTCCATGGGACCATCAGCCATGGAAAATGGTCATGGTCTTATTTTCCATCTTAGCTGTAGAGGTTGGAAACTGTCCCAGAAAGGGCTCTACCTGTTGCCCATCTCCAGTGCAACCAGTTCCTCTCCCCAGCTCCTGGGGTGCAAACCAGGTGCCTGAACCCACCCCAGTGTTACTGCAAAGTCCCTAATGTGGCCCACACGAAGATCCACGGCTCCTGTGTGAAGACACCAGGAGGTAGGAGAGACCCCTTGGCTGCTGGGGAATCTCTGGGCAGATGTGTTTCAGTGGAAGGTAACATGGAGACATGTCCACCATGGGGGATGGGAGAAGACAGTTTGGGGGTAGCCCAGGGAACCTTGCAGGGAGTGAGTCCCTGGGTCACTGCACCCACTACATCCCGTTGGCACCCATGGGCAGGCGGCTGAATGTTCCTGAGTGTCTCTGCAGGTGGGCACGTGTGACAAGCACGGACATACCCAGCCACCGGACACTCCATGGGTTCCTTCTTCGATCATTCTCTCTTCCACAGACGGAATCGTGCTGTGCACGCTCCAGTTTCCTGACCCTCCCATCTACTGGGACACCGTGACCAAGATCTGCGTCTTCATCTTTGCCTTCATGGTCCCCATCTTGGTCATCACCATCTGCTACGGGCTGATGATCCTGCGCCTCAAGAGCGTCCGCCTCCTTTCGGGCTCCAAGGAGAAGGACCGCAACCTGCGGCGCATCACGCGCATGGTGCTGGTGGTGGTGGCAGCCTTCATCATCAAACTTCGTCATCGTCTGGACGCTGGTGGACATCGATAAGAAGAATCCCTACGTGGTGGCCAGCCTGCATTTCTGCATTGCCCTGGGTTACACCAACAGCAGCCTCAACCCCGTCCTTTATGCTTTCCTGGATGAGAACTTCAAGCGGTGTTTCCGGGAGTTCTGCCTGCCTTTCCGAGCCCGGATGGACCAGAACAGCTTCTCCCGGGCCAGGAACACCACCCGGGAGCGCGTCTCCACCTGCACCCCTTCCGAAGCCCGCAACAAGCCGGCATGACTAGACGTGGGCAGCCTCCAGCGGGGCTGCCGGGGCCAGGGAGGGGATGACCTGCGCTCAGAAGTGACCCAGGTCACCACCACGGAGCTCTAGCAGGGTGGTGGCCTGGGCCCTGCTCACGAACGCAGCTGGGTTTGTGTTCGCACTGATAGCGAGGGACTGAAAAGGCTTTTTTCACCCTGGAGAACCAGGACAAGGGGGTCAGGACTCACCAAGCGATGGAGAGGGCCAAAAGGAGAAGCAGCCTGGGCAGAGCTCCTCTGCTGCTGCTCCCACCACTGCCAGGGACAACCTACCAGCCCCATAGACCCAACAAGGGTCCAGTGCATGGCCCAAGCATCCTGGGACACCATGATTGAGTGACCACGTGTTTCTTCCCCTGCATGGCCCAAGGTGGCACCATAGCCCATGGCAAGAAGGGAAACGCTCCCATGGCCAAAGGGGACTGTGCCGGGGCGGGTGATGCCACTTCATGAGGCCTCACTCCATCCCCCTGGGTTCAAACACCAGCCAGAGACAGGAGGAGAAAATGATGCCACTTCAGAGACACTTATCAAAGAGCTCCACATCCATAGGACAACTGTCACTGGAGTTCTTCACGCTGGGGCTGTCCCCAGAAGACAACTTGGTACTGTTAATGTCCTCACTGTAGTATTTAGAGACCTCTGACTGCAGCCGGGGCAGCCCTGGACACAGACGTGATGCTGGGAATACGGATACGGCCGGGGGCAAATCAGGGCATCTCTTGGCTGATGCCACATTCCCCATGCCCAGCATCCACCAGGATGACAGGGAACTGCTCCTCACCCATCTGCCTCCAAAGACATTAAGGCTGAGAAAGATGCCATGAAGGCAGCAGGTTGGGGGGACTTGAGGAGTGCTAAAGGAATTCGGAAAGACCAACAGGAGTCCCCTGCCGCTGGGTGAGGGATGGACAACAGCACTGTCCAGGTCCCTGCAGCAGGGCCAGAAAGGATAGGATGTAGAAAATGGGGAGGAAACAATATCACCGTCATTCCATGATTCCCCAAGCAGGGACAGACGTCGTGGGAGCACTAAGGAAGGACCCGCAGTCCACAGGAGGCAGAGGTTTAGGGATTTGATGCTCGACACTTACCTGGTTGGATGTTCCTCCGAAGGGGCAGCCCATCTGCAGGAGCCACCAGCCAGGGACCTCTGAACCATCATTAGCTGCTGCTAACCCATGGCTGGTGCGACCCTCTCTGTTCACAACACCCCCGT